CCCCAAAACCCCAAAACCCCAAAACCCCATAAGCATTAAAGATGAACAAACAGAATGAGTTAATTAAGTTAGATGTATCTATAAAATTTTAGTAGAATATTTTTATAATTTTATTACAGGAATTTAATTTAAAGATCTATGGAGATTACAGTTCTAGCTAATTAGACAATTATTGATTGTAGACAATGAACCAAAATGTAATAAAAATTATCAGTTTATTCTTAAGTTGATATAGATTATTACTTCTGCTATTTTTCATCTATTAGTCTAACGAATTTGATATGAGTGAGCACAGTAATTCTCATCCTATAATAAGATTATAGGAAATTTACAAAGTTACTAGGATAATTGTGGAGATTGGGTTAAAAGATTTCCAATGATCCTTGGTATGACTTCCACAGAGTGTAATGATCACATTAGATTGAATGGCTTTGATGCTGATGCAAGTGGAAACTTTTTGATTGCAGGTTATGTCAAATCAACTTCAACATAATGCTCGATGCTTAACAATGGGGTCTCAGCTTAAACTGGCTTTCTAATGCATTTAGATAACAAAGGTAACTATTTCATGTATCATTAAAGTCAGGAAACACAAAATGGGTCAAAATCTTATCAATTAATGCAGGAACTTTACCATCAAATCCAGTTTTTAATGATGCAGATGTTTTTACAGTACTTCTGGGAACTCTATAGTACATGAGAATAGCTAAATTGACTCTTGCTACAGGAGTATAAACATTAGAGAAAAGTTTAGATTTTTATTCTGCATCAGGAGCTACAAATGATGGGTTTTCGTTGCAAATTGATCCATATAACTCAAATCTCTACTTTGTAGGAACTATAAAATCTTCCACATATTACGCTAGTGATTTTGAAAGATATTTGATGCGCTTTGATTAATCTCTAAATTTACTATTATTTACTAGAGTTAGAGGTAATAGTGCAAATTCAGCTTATTACAACTTTGGGATTGAGTTTACCACAACTTCTATTTACACGTTTGATAAATACTATACCTCAGCCTCTGCTTATAGATCTTCAGTCCAATAGCTATTGAAATCAGATTTATCAGTTACTAGTGAGTGTACCTGGTACAATACATTATCAAGCTTGAAAAGAGGAGTATTTAGAATAAATAGCGATTAAACTAAATGGTATTCAGGCACTTATGTTGATGCAACTAACAACTATTTTTCAATTTAAATAGGAACAATGTCAACTAACACTCTTATATCAAATAGATAATTGAATGCAGTGATATTGTGTAAGTAACTTCCTCAAATTATCTTTATTTAGATCCCTATATGGAAATAGACCCATCCACTGAAAATATTGTCCTTATTTCTATCATTGAAAATTGTAAGTTCTAAATAAATAACAATCTTTATTAGACAAGTAACTCATACTCATAATCAATCCTTCTACTGGAGTGATAGTAACATAAAGTCTCATTAATAAGGGAGCAACATCACCTAATGAATTCCCAAGAATCTTCGGAAAATTATCTGGTTCATATATCTATTATGCATTAGATCTAGATTAGTATATATCTACTTCATTCAAGCTTAGAGTAAAAATTTCCATTATTAATCTAGAATGTAGCCTGTCATAATGAAGACTGATGTTACTGGTTAAATTTCATCACTTAATTGTTTAAATTCTGCCGTTAATAGTCCCACAATAGCTACCATGAGTGATATATTATCAAATTCAAATGCATAAACTTAAAATACACCTATGTATGTTTAGGCTGTTACTTCCGGGGCTTCGATAACCACATAAAGTAACACCTTTACTGATTCTCCATTAGCTTCAAGTTCTTATTTTCCAATGTAAGATCTGAAATTTTCATAAAATTGTGCTCTGCCTTTTACAATTACTCCACCAGAAGTATTCCTCAATGCAACAACCGATCTAGATGTTGTTAAAGTAATTCACTTACAAATAATTGTTTTAGAATTTTGGATAATTAAAAGTTACCTAATGCAATGGATATCCTTTTACTATCACAGCATTGAAAAATGGAACAGGTGCTACTTTACCGCCAGATGTTACATTTGATACTACTACAAAGGTTATTACTGCTAAATTTAATTCCAATAATCTTTAAAACTATATTGGAGGATGGCCATTAAGAATAGATGCAACCCTCTATGGAATAACAGGATATAATCTTGGATATCGATTAGCAGCAGCACCAGATTAAGCAAAAGTGATAGATCCGACAATACCAAATCACGATGTTTCTAGTTGTGATGAAACTCCTTATCCTTTATTTTGGGGTAAAGGCACATCAAATATGGCTATATATTACTCTACTTTTGATGATTATGGAAATTTTTTAATTACTGGATACTCAATCAAATTAGATCCATTTTCGAAGACTGATGTAAATAATGAAAACGGATTTGTTTCTTTAATTGATTAAAGAGGAGCAATCTATTGGACATATAGACTTGATGATACAGAAGATGCTACTAATGGTGAATACTGCTATTATGCTATACAAAATGGCATGTATGTTTGGGCTCAATGTAATGGAGCTAATAGCTTATCTAAAGAAACTCATTATCCCTTACTTGTAAAAATGCACCATGATAGTGGTAGAGTTCTTTATTGGAGAGCTGTGCCTATATAAGCTTATACTAGTAATATGCATAGTTCAGGAATATTGAATTTAGGAAATAACAAAATGATTATAGGTTATAGAGGATAAGTAAACTCTAATCGTAATCTTGTCTTAATCAAGTTTGATGAAACCACCTTTCGAACTGAATATGCAAAATTCTATTCGACAAGTGATACAGCAGAAAAACAATTGAGAATTTATTTTGATTAAACAGCTGATTATATCTTCGAGATGAGAAACTAGGGCTCATCAAATCTAAATCAATTCCTACAGATTTAATTGTCAACTGGAGCGTTTTTACGATATGTTAATTTAAATGCTGGTATTCAGGAATTGCACAGTGGATGCTTCTTTTAAAATGATAAATTTATTGTACCATCTATTGCTTCTGGTACACCGTCTGCTGTTAATATTATAACCTTATATAAATCTAATCTCAGTGTATTCAAAGATTAGAAAATTACTTTTAAATCTGGCTATGTAGTTAGTAATGTAATGGTAGCAACAGACAATGATAATAATATTTATATTTCAGCAGCAGGTACCGACATATTTTTCTTCAAATTAAACCCTGATTTCTCTTTGAATAAATAAAGCTATTGGGAAGCACCATTTGATTACAGATTAACCAATATATAATTTCACAATGGAAACATGTTTTATGTTTATTAAGAGGATATTGGTTCCACATTTGTTTCAAGTTTTATTCTTAAAGAATCATAATCCTCTGGATTTTAGAATTTAAACTGTTTTGACCCTATGCTTCTTGCGCCCACGGATACTACTATATATGCTACATTATCTTAGCCATCAAGGACTTATACTGTAATGACTCCACTTGATATAGATGAAGTGGATTTAATTTTTGATAACACAAACTGGGATTATTTTACACCTTAATATTACTCCAAAGTAAGATTTGTAATTTAACAAATTTTAGTTTGTATCAATTTCGTTTACTAAATCATAAACAGATAAATACACTTGGGGATACTAACCTTTTCCAAATGTATTTAAAAGATATCCCTAACATACCATGAATTGCCACTCGATATCTAACATTATGACTTTTAAGGATCCACTGAGCACTACGATTGAAGTATTATCCTAAATTGGGAATAAAGCATACCCATATACTCTTCCAGGAAATAATTGTCAGGGTAGACCCTGGTCTATGACATTAATGTCAGGAGTAACAGCAACTACTCCAACATCATGGGTTGTATGGGATAATGTTTAATCAATAATCGTTTAAACAAACACTCCTTCATATCCGGGTACTTTAAGTGTAAGATTAAGATACTTCGATACTACAAGTGGTAATACCTCGTTATCTATTAAAGATAATCCAATATTTATAAGATTGGTGAAGTCTGACAATGTAACTCTATCACAATCAAATATTTCATATTGTTGGCAAAATATCTATCCAATTGGCTATAGTTGTGAAACTCAAGGGATGTTTAGTAACTTATAATCCTTTTTCGTAAACAAAGATGACATGAATATATTATTAGGTGGAGAAGTTTAGAGTAATAGCCACCATATTTTTGTCATTGATGGTATATCAGATGCCTTTCTGTAAAGATCATCTGAAACTGGCTTTGTTGAATGGATTAGCACCTATTATTCTAGTCATGGCGTTCAAGATAAAATCCATTCAATAACAATGACGGGAGGTTGGATATATTGCTTTTATTCAGCTTCTACTTCTGTTAGTATTGATATTAGAAGTAATGGTATCCTAAAAATTACATATGCTGAGGGAAAATTAATCTGGGCAAGAAAATTAGTAGTATAAAATCCTATAGATTCTGCAACTTTATATGTCAACGTGATATGGGAAATGGCATATGATCCTCTTAATCCGTCTAATTTTTTAGCAAATGTTGAAATGCTATGGAATACTAATATCCCAGTTTCATGGGCTATTATGTTCAGAGATGACGGAATTGGTTTAGTCACTAGATTTAACATATTATCTAAACCTGTGTATGCTCTCAGTAATGCTATTGTGCCTAGTTAGGTTGTTTTTCATACGACTTAAAATTTCGTTTTTATCTCTTAAGGAAATTTTTTTAGCCAAAATACTTAATAAGATATGGCAATAATGAAGGTAAACTCGATTACTGGTAATGTTATTTGGTCAAGGATTTACAATAATAATATGGGTCCTTCATCAGGATCACCTTATTACGCTTCACTTGCTCTTAATACGTACACAGGCTATCTTTATTTAGGAGCAATGACCACAGATTTGCACTTAGCTCAGTTAGATTAGAATGGTAATTCAATAAAAAGAATTCTTTTTAGATATCACTAAGGTGCACTTAGAGCATTAGCCATATTTACAGATGATACAAATGGGAATATAGTTCTATTTTGTAATACTAACAATCAAGTAAATATGATCACATTAGATAAAGATTTATTACAAATTTCTAAGCCTTATTTAAGCTAGCATAATGCGTACAGAAATACTTTTTTAAGGAATCATTTTTAAGTAGGAAGCTAGTTCTACTTTGGATATGAATAAGAAAAATTCATTTCATTATCTTTTGGAGCTGGAGAAATGGTTATACATAGAAAATCAATAAAGTACTACGAACAAGGATAATTTGAGTGTCATTCATTTTCAATATATGCAACTAATCCCTCTGTGCAAGCAACTTACTCGCTAACAAGTAATTCTATCTCAAGTGCTTCTTTGTTTATAAATAAAGTTCAACTGTAAACAATTGATAATACCAAAATAATTACACATTAGCTCCAAAAATATTTCACTACTAAATTATATCCAAATGGAGATACTGCCTATAGTCATAATTACTTATATTCTTCCTCATAAACATGTGCCTTTGGAGGAGGTATATCTCCACCATCCTAAGTTGACATAGATGCTATAGTAGTAATCAGTGGAAATTAAGTTACAATACCCATAACAGCAAGTTTGTTTCGTTAATGTTAAGGAGTAAGTATGACCATAAGTTCGATAAAATATGAAAATGGGCTAACATCAAGCTCTGTTTCTCAACCTTTAATATCAATATCTGGGACAAGTTCCATAACTATTGATGCAAGAAATTAGCCTCCATATCCAGGATTTAGAAATTTCATTGCAAATGTATGCACCTCAATAAAGAATAAATGTACAGATGTTTAAATACCAATAATTATTTATCCTTCTGCGGTTCCTAATATTAGCAGAACTGCAGCTACTAAAATCTGCAAAAATAATCCAACTTACCCTAGAATAATAGGAGATCCCTCTCCATATACATTTATTGTAGGAGCTGACATTGATGAAGATAATGGAAATATTATTATGTGTGGAGCCAATTTGAATCCTAAGTATAGACCTTAGTAATATTCTGGCACAAATAAAGATGCATTAATGATCATGTAAGATAATAATGGCAAAATTAATTGGGCTCATGTAATGAGAAAAACAAGTGGAGAGCATAACTATTACTCTGACTGCAAATTTATTCCAAATTCATATATAATAGCTTTGGCACTATTGATTACTACTCCAAATTAACTTGTATTAGCTGCTTTTGATTATAATTCAGGAAAGTATATATTCATTAGATAAATTCCAGGAGCCATGTCTGATATTCCAGAACTTAATAAGATTTTAATAGATACTGCTAAAAATGTTCTGTATATCTTATATACGAAAGAATCGTATAAAAATTCAATCCTTAAGATTAGTTTAGCCTAGAATTAGCCTACTCTATTATACAGTACAAATATTGGTTATTCAACTACTGGATACTAGTATTTAAGGAGTCTGTCTGTCCCGATTATCAAAGATTACATTTATGCTATGACTTAAGTATTTGAAAATTCAAAATGGTACTACATTGTTGCTAAAATTAGAAAAACAGATGGAGTTATAGAAAATTATGTTCATCATCTATATAGTGACAATGATTATTGGGTCTGTTCTTGCTTAAATAATGAGGAAAATACATATTCAAGTATAGTTGATAAAACTTCTGGAGAAACTAATTATTATACCATTACCTTAAGGATGTACAATGACACTCTCTATCCGACTTTAGGAAAAGCGATTAAAATTTATATGACATAGAACATTTATCACTCAAGTTTAGATTATGATTCTTAAAACATTTACTTAGTATGCTCATTTTATGCTGACTCTTATTTAATCGGAAAATTCTAAAAAAATGACCTCGCTATTGTTAAAATTTCAACGTAATTAATTATTTTTATCATTAATAAATTATTTAGATTTTACAGTCCGTACTCAATATTCGGATACGGCATTTCACGAGTTGCTAATGATGGGATTTATATGTTTTTTTTTTAATATGGAATTTGTAAGAATAATTTTCATATTACTAAATAATACTTTAGAATCTGAAAATGATGCCTCATAGTTTTCAATGCTTCTTAATAAAGTAAATTTGGACCTGATTGGTACAGAGAGTGTAATGATTAACAAAGATGCTTTATATACTTTGGTGACACCTCTACTAACCTATTAATAAGTCACTCAGCCAATTTAGGATATTGTCTACGATTAAATCAAGCTGTGGCCTTAGTTTAACTAGTACTGGGAATATCTGCAATATCCAACCTAAATAAAATTTATTTAGCCGTAAGCATTGTATCAAAAGGTATTTAAACCTGAATATGATACTCAACCTAAGAATCAAATTATAATATTGCCAGTCAGCTATTAATATACTCTAAAATGGCCTAATGATTGCGTAGGAAACACTTTATCAATGACCTGGAGTGTTGATAAATATGCAACGATCCCTTCAATATTTTCATTAGATAGCTCAAGTTAATCTAGCACTTTAACTGTAGTTCCTACAAACTCTGATATCGGGTCATACACCATAAGATTTAAGTTTACATCAACTGTTGACTCTACAGTTTCAACTGAAGATACATTTTTAGTCACAATCTATCCTGAAACTTCATTTGACTAAGAAATAATAATAAATGAATGCAATATGCCTATTTTTCCTGCATTTTTTGATGGCTCAGCATCAGTCTAATAGACCTCAATGTCAATGGATAAATAAGGAAATCTAATAGCTCTGTGCGGTTCAACTGTTACAAGCAATAATCAGTATCCATCTAAAAAATCAAGTTTCATTAGTCTCTATACGAAGGGAATGGCATTTATATTTTGGCAAACTATTGAAATAGGAATCTAAGGAAGCGAAGTTAATAATTGCATATTTTCAGATTAGAGTAATCTGTTTACTTCGATATAATCAGAATTAGATTCAGATAAATCTTAAATACATCTCTTCTAGCATTCAAGCTCAGGATAACTAATTAACTCAAAACAGCTCAGTCACTTGTCTAGAGCATTAAACTTAAACTATTTCTACATTGATCCTGAATAAGAAGATTAATATATTGGGTTCACTATGACAGATACATAATTCGGTGTTCATCTACCTACTTAGAACTCAAAAAGTTAGTTTGTCATTTTAAAATTAGATTCAGCCTACACTCCTTTGTTTCTCAGAACTTACTCTGCTACTTTTCATGCATAGGTTTGTAGCTTTCTACTTAATAAACTAGACAACACACTCTATGCAGTTTTCACTTTAGAGGTAACTACTTGGAAAATTGGAGCGATGAAAGTTAGTTCAATTGATGGTAATTTAAATTGGGCATATGCACTTAGTGGCTCAAGTTCGTATTAAACTATCTCTAGCTCATTTCCAGCTTAAAACGAAATTGAATTGATAGCAAATAATCCTTATGTATGCTTCAGCATGGAATCAACTGCTTCAACAACAGGATTCGAGGTTTTTCTAATTAAATTAAATCCCTTAACTGGAGGCATTGCATCTATGTTTGAATCATTTTACACAAATAAGCCTATTAGCTGTGTACTGTATTACTCAAGCTCTTAGAATTATCTCATTTAAGCAGTAGTTACTACATCAGATTCACATTTAAGGTTTATTGATATGAATAGTTTCAGCTATAAAACCAAATAACT